AAGGAAGGAAGGAAGGAAGGAAGAAAAAGAAAGAAAGGAAGAAAAACAAAGAAAGATTTAAATCCACAAAAGACACACTCTTAGATTTGGTGGTGTTGAAACCCAGTGGTGAGAACCACATCTGCATCAGATGTGATATCAGAGTCAATGTTTAAGAATGATGGCACAGTGAAGAGCAGCACCAGAAGTAATGTAAGGTGGTGGAAAGTGCATGGGTCTGCAAGGCAGACCTGCCTCAGGGCTTGGATCTACCACTGCTGACTGCTGACTTTGGGCAAACCATATGATTCAGCTGGACTGTAATTTTTTCAATGTATAATTAAGTCAGAAGGACCTATAGTGACCATTCGACCTCCAATTCCCTCTGTATCCCTAATTTAAAAGTCACTGAAGGGACACATGCACCCCAATGTTTATAGCAGCACTACCAACAATAGCCAAATTATGGAAAGAGCCCAAATGTCCATCAACTGATGAATGGATAAAGATGTGTTGTGTACATATATATATACACACACACAAACATACACATACATACAGTGGATAACTACTCAGTGATGAAGTGGAATGAAATCTTGCCATTTGCAACAACATGGATGGAACTGGAGGGTATTGTGCTGAGCCAAATAAGTCAATCAGAGAAAGACAGATATCACATGATTTCACTCACATGTGGGATTTGAGAAATTTAACAGATGATCATAGGGGAAGGGAAGGAAAAATAAGATAAAAAAAAAGAAAGAGGGAGGCAAACTATAAGAGACTCTTAAATACAGAGAACAAACTGAGGGTTGATGGGGAAGGGGGAAGGAAATGGGTGATGGGCATTAAGGTGGGCACTTGTTGAGATGAACACTGAGTGTTTATGTAAGTGATGAATCACTGACTTCTACTCCTGAAGCCAAGACTACACAGTGTGTTATCTAACGTGAGAAAGAAAGAAAGAAAGAAAGAAAGAAAGAAAGAAAGAAGAAAGAAAGAAAGAAAGAAAGAAAGAAAGAAAGAAAGAAAGAAAGAAAGAAAGAAAGAAAGAAAGAAAAAGAGGAGTTAATGGGAAGGTGGTTGGTTCTCATTCATGCTAATACCATAATAACTCATTCTGATACTGAGACCCACTATATCCCTCAAAGCACTCTGGGTCTTGACCTTTCCTGACTCTTAACTTCTTGCTCCTCTATAGTAGTTCTGTGGTACCCCATCTATAACCCCTTTATCAGCTAGTGTATCTACTACCCAGCCTCTGTGTGTGCTGCATCTAACAGCTTATACCTGCAACTTTCTCTAGCACATTGCCCTTGGCTGATTGGGATATCTCATTCGGAGATGCCTGGGAGGTTTCAGTGTCCCCCACTTGAGGTAGCCAATGATTGACTGATAGGGAGGTATATATACACCTCCAAGCCAAATGTAGACTTTACCTAAGACCACATCTTTGCATAGCTCTTTGCTCTTAGCTATACCACTCCCCTCAGTTCCTTACAAGTTTTCCTGAAGAGCAACCCCTCAATAAACCATGGACACTTCAATCCTTGTGTCAAGCTCTGCTTTTAGAGAACTTACCTAAAACACTTTCTAACTCTAACTGCCTTACTGTCCCACCCAAATTCTCATTTTTGCTTACCTCAGCCAGAGTTCATTTCTGTTGCCTAACAATCAAAGAACTCCAGCTAATACCCTTAAAAACAGGAAAGGAGAGAAAAGGAGAGAGTGCTTCATGATCACAACACTACTAGGGCCACATAAAGTGGAAAAAACAGGTTTTGGTGAGAAAGCTAGTTATTTTTGAGTGTCTTAAATCCCTGACTAGTTTGTATGATCCAAGACAGTAAGAACCATGCTTGCTAGCTAGTCACCTTTTTTTAATCTTCCATAGCATGTAGCACAAGTCCTTGAACAAAGCAGATGTTTAATAAATATGAATCAATCAATTTCACAAAGGTAAATTCCCCAGAGTGCTTATTCCATCACAAGACAATGTGAAAACAGATCAATTGGAAAGGAATGAGAGTGTTTTTCTTACATGGATCATATTAATTACAACTAATATTTACCTAGTAAACTATAGTTTGCAAAGCATGTCTACATACATTGTTCAATTTACTCATTTCAGCAATCATGTAAGGTGAGTTTTAATAACAGCCTCACTTTACAGATGAGCCTCAGAGAGGCAGAGATTTGTCCAAATGGCATAGATAGTAAATATTTAACAAGAACATCTGCTCCAAATCCTATATTTCTTCTTCTGAGTTAAGATCTCCCTGGCAAAGGGGGACACACACACACACACACACACACACACACACACACACACACACCTGGTCTTGTATTTTTCCAGAAAGGACCTTATGCTTGGTGTTCTTGGAACCTGAGATTGAAAAGAGTGACTAGGCTGTGGAGACAACAAAGTGTGAGGTGTCTGCAGTCTGTCACTTCTTTCAAAAAAAGAGATTAATAGCAGCATAAAGAAAAGCCACAAGATGCCTGAATGATGTGTGAAAGACAGCAGGATGAGGCAATCAGAGGTATATGAAGAAGCAAGGAAGACTTTGCCCCACTCACAGATCTGAGTCAGATGTTATTGTTATTCTCCTCTAATTCCTGGCATCTATTGTTTCAAGTGTTGAGCACTTTGAGTTTCTTCTCCTAGAAAAAAGCAAAGCCCATCCAGTTTCTCTTCAATTAGAAAGTTTCACTCACATCCTTTAAAACATAATTAATCAGGGTGGTGTGTGGCCACT